GGAGACTTCGAGCCATCCAGGACTACCAAAAGCTCAATGCTATAACCATGAAAATTGGTATCCTATTCCCCTCATCTCGGAAATTATGCATATGCTGCGCAAGGCAACCTGGTTCACCAAACTTGACATTAACGAGTTTGCGCTACAGCCATCAGTGCCACCTCGTGGCTGATTTGCAGTGCGCTGATGTATGGCTCCACCCACCAAAAATAAGCCCCAGTGGCTCCAACAGCCATCCACGGCGACTTTTGGCGGGTGGAGCCATACGTCAGCACACTGCAAATCAGCCACGAGGTGGCGCTGATGGCTGCAGCGTAAACTCTCTATTTGCTGGGGATGCAACAACATTTGCATCAAGGAAGGAGATGAGGAGAAGGCCACATTCATCACCAACCGGGGATTATGGGAACCCTTGGTGATGGTCTTCGGGTTGACAGACTTGCCAGCCACATTTCAATCCATGATGAACAAGATTTTTGAGAGGCAGATTGCAGAGGGAAGGGACATTGTCTACCTTGACGGCATACTCATCTATTCCGAAATATAACTGAGACTTCATATGTTCTCTACAATATGTTTGTTGCACATGAGTCCGTGGATGTTGATCCTCGTTGTAGGCGTATCTCACGAGCAAATGCATTGGCCATGGAGGAATCCCACTTTCTAGATATCTTCTACAATATATGACATTTCCAGAGGTGCTGTGGACATTTGAGAATTGGATGGTTTTTCAGGTCTTTGGCCAGTTTTGTGAGCCATGAGAGGTGGAACATAGTTCTGCATCCATAGAACAATACCGAAGCCGGTCCGAGTGATCCAGCTAATCGGAGTAGAGGTCCGATCCTTCCAATCTGGGCCTGAACTCTCCTGACTTTCGCATTTACAAGAGGGATACATGGTCTATTACTACAATTTGTCATTGAGGTGTGTAGGCACTACATAGCTGATGGGCTGCAGCTGGCGAGGAGCGGATAGCGGGAGGCTAAGCAAGATGGTGGGACTCAGGCTGATGGAAAACAAATAAAGCTCTGCTGCTTGGGTAGACACAAAAGATTTAATGTGTGTGTCAGCTCAAGATAAACTATATTGGTATATCTTTAAATTTTTTGGTGCACAGTGTGGAGCTTGACTTGAAGGCTGCCTAAGGCACGTTCATACCATGTATTCAAGCAAGTGTCCGAAGTGCATGTTCAAACATGAGTTTGAAAATTTGAATCAAGATGAGGCTGCTTTCCACCAGTTAGTAAGTAATATTCAGGGTTTCTTGATCCAAAAGAATGTTCAAAGTGAACTCTTGAATCCGGGGTGACCGGTTCAACTGTTTGGCTTGTCAGCAATGCATCAGTAGTAGTGATGTTTTGGCTTTGGCTTGGCCTGAAAGCCGCGGCTTTGGCCCGGCTTGGGGTGGCTTTGGCCTAGCAAAATCCCAGGCCTTGGCTTTAGTACGCATTTTGTGAATCTGGTCGAACAGATACAAATTATTATTCTACTGATTCATCTGGCTCGTAATTATCGGGTGCATCATCCAAAAAACAATCCCAACCTCCCTCAGCATCGTCTTTGACCACGGGATCATCATCGTCGTCGATCACTATCGAAGGTGGTGCACAGAACATGTCCTTCACCTTGATGAGGGATTTCAAGACCTGCAGCGCCTCCACAATATCCCCCTTCAGTCTGTTCCATCGCTTGCTGATTGTGATCCCTCCAGCTGAGAATGTGTGCTTGCTGGAAACAGACGAGGCAGGAATGGCAAGACGGTCCCGAGCCAGTGAACGCCATGTAGGAAACCGTCCCAAGCATGCCTATAAAGTAGTTGGAACAGGTATGGACAAAGAGCATGGAATAAACTCACCCCCCACCAAGCTACCATCGAAACACCCTCAGGAAGCATTTCCGGACAAGAGTCGTAGTAGTAATCAAACTCATCAGCCCATGGCCGGTCGGGATCAAGGTGCTGAGAGAATGAAGATGAGCCCTCCTCGTCAATCTCGGCTGTGATTTCCCTAAGAAGACGGCCCAAAGAGCTGGTGCGTCGGGCAGGTCGGGCTGTAACCCCATTTGGATTAAGCTTGTGCCAGCGTACCGCAAAAAATGGATGAAGACATGGATAAAGCTTACAATTTTTTCTGCCGTTTTTCGAGCCTAGGCCACCAGGTCGGTGCCCCAATTTTTTGCGAAATAACGCCCTTTTGTTCAGGGTATTGAAAATGTGTTTTTGCATGTGGAAGATGGATGGAAACACATGGAAAATGCATGGCGGCGGCGTGCTATGATACGGAAAGCGGCGAGAGTCAGGTGAATCCAAGAAATTTCAAAGTCGGAGGCCCATTTGGATGTAGAAAGCACCAGCAGAGACTTGGCAGAAACATCACTTGAGGGTTTTGTCTGGTTTTCGAAGGGGCATAGTATTAGGACTGGTTTGTTTGATGAGCTTGTGTAATAACCGACTCAGCCTGTGAGTCGTGTCCAAAAAATGGCAAAATGAAGGTAGGTCTGATTCATCAGATATGAAGGTGCACCGCCACAAAGTACCTGATTATAGGCAAGACACGACGCGACATGATTCAATAAACAATGCCAAAGGTCGGGCTCCGCGAAAAAATCCCTTGAAAATACCCTGCAAAGCCGCGGCTTTTTGGCTTGGCTTTGGCCTGAGAGAGTCTCAGGCCAGGCCAAAAGCCAACCCAGGCCAAACTTTTGGCTTGGCTTTGGCCTTGGTACCAAAGCCAAAAAGCCGCAGCTTTTTGGCCTGAGGCCAAAGCCAAAACATCACTAATCAGTAGAACTTCGGATACTTAGATAGGCCGATTGGCCATTTTCGGTAGCTTATATAAGCTGATGGCAGACATTTTCGGTACCCTAAGCACAAAAAGAAACTAAATTTTCTGTTTGCGAACCTTGTTATCAGATGTTATCTCATGCTATCAAATCTGATGGATGCTAATAGCAGCAGATCTCTTAGCTCGTATTTAACACAGCTGGGATGGTGCTGATCGCGGTGCGCTGATAGCATCGTTATCAGCGGTTATCTCGTGCTATCAAAGCCGATGGGAACAATATAGGGGGGAATGTATGTATATTTTTCCTGATTTAAGGTGTATTATTGTGCGGCGCCAATGCTTTACGCTGCAGCAGCGGGACTATTGTCGGCTTTGATCATGCTGATTGCAGCACGCTGATCGCGCCGTTACCAGCAGTTATCTCGTGCTATCAAATCTGATGGCAACAATAGTGCAAGATCTCTTAGCTCTTAATTAACACTATCTAAGAGCTATTTAGCAGTAATTAAATAGCTCATTAGCAAGATTTAACGGGGGCACAGAGGACTACCTAAAACCCCCCGTATTAGAGGGAGAGACTTAATATAGCTCCACCTCTAATACAAGCGGTTAGTTGGGCACTATAGGTGTTAAAATCTCCCAGTGGGTTCTATCTCATCTATATGGATGTTGCTGCAATTCACATACCACCCAATTGCTCTGCTTGCAGGCTTGCTGATCCTCACTGTGCAAGGATTGTCCCATCCCAGGCTGACTATTTCGAAATGACTGCATTCAGCTGACCTCGAGGCCATCACTGACAATCAATACTATTACTGCTGAAGGAAGATAATTCTATTTAGCAGCCCCCCCCCCTGCCAGTGGTTTGAGGGCTGCTAAATAACATCATTCTACTTAGCAGCCCCCATGTGATCTTATCATTCAGCCATCAGATTGATGCACTCTTGAGGAGTTGATTGAGAACCAAATATTTTTGTTTCTTGAGCAGTTGTCATTGGATTTCTTTCAGATCAGGCACAAATCACACCAACACCTCATACCTTGATCACAGTAAAGAGACTTTTGTGATACCAGTGGAAGGGGAGATGAAATGTGCCTCCAAGCATATCAAACCACTAATTGATGACAGTGATTTTACAAATAAAATCAACTCTACAAAGACTCTTGTTCTGTGCATAAATTTCCCTCGGGCCTTCAAAGACCATGCATGATATATATAAAATATGTGTGAAGAACAGCACTGAAATCTGAGGCCAACAGAAACATTATTTTTTGTCACACAAAGGGTGGAGCTTGAATATTGAGCTGATGAATTGATTGCTATGGGCTCCCGCATAGTTTCCTGTTGGCTTCTGCTCCAGTTCCTTGCATAACATAATTGGAGTAGCTATGAGGACTGCACTTCTAATCTCCTCAATAATCTGGCTTACCCAAAGTGCCGGCACAGTCTGGTCTCTCAGTTATCTTATCAACATTTGCACATTTGGCAGCCCCTCCTCGGAAAGTGGGGCTAGCAAATAGAATTATCTGCTGAAGGATGCTGTGTCAATGGGATAGTCCCTACTCAATATATGTGACACACTATAATTTCTGTTATAGGCTTTTAGATGATCAGATTGGGAAATTGATGTTGACTGTGTGAGCTGTGCAACTCATTTGTTGTGTCAAATATGTGCTGTGCAAGGCAGAGCAAAATAATTTGAGGAAATTGAATGATAGCAGAATGTAGCATTCAAACACTCAAAGCTTGTGGCTGTGACTCCCATAAGGGGCCCAAAATAGATGATGTCGTTGAGTGCGAGCAGGTGGTGTTTGTGATCATTTTTAAGGATAGATATCCAGACAGCACAAACATTGCACTGGAGGTGTGAGATTTATCAAGTGCCAATGTCAGTGCCATGGAGTGCAACATAAAGATCTGGGTATGGATGTGGCACCATCTGCGGCTGCACCATGGCTACCACTCGAATTTCGTAGTTATTCACATGCTGCACATGGCAATTTACTTTATTCTGAGTCAAATATATATAATATTAATTTACTTCCTTTTATGCACAAAGGGCTCAATTATAAAGAAGTGTTTGGTGTCCTGAAAGGACCTGCTGAACACAGGTGCCACGACCTGTCAGCAAGGCACCTGCCTTTCAGGTGTGGCAGCCTTTGGCCTTAATGAGAGAAGCTTATGGAATCCATATAGGGGCAGGATCAACAAATGATGCCTGCCTAGCTCAATTGGATAGAGCGTCAGACTCTTATTAGGCAGGTGCATCTGAAGGCTGCGAGTTCGACCCTCGCGGTGGGCTATATGTTTTGGTATTTCCAGCTATTTGCTATTTTTTGAGCAAATCTCCTTTCTATGTCTCGCCGACATCACTTGTCTGTTATATTTACCAGACACAGACAGAATGTTCATCCCGGATGCAGTATGCTGCAGTGGAAGACCAACAGTGATTGGGGACAGGGGTAAGTGTAAGTGTAGCAATAGGACATCAATAGTGTTCTATGGTATTAGTTATGGAAAAGGTGTGGGAATGAGAAAGGAGTACTAGATGAGGGAAAAGTCGGAAAAATACATGCTTAATGTACAAAAAGCGACACCTGTGCGATTCGAACACACGCGGGTAAACCCAACCGCTAAACTACTAAAGTTAGCAGGCGATCGCCTTAACCACTCGGCCAAAGTGTCATTTGAGTGTCCATGATCAAAAGGTTGTGTCATGGGTAGTTCGAGGTCATAGGATATGTACTCTAGCCTCCCAGATATGCAGATTTATATAGGAGTTAACATATGGAGAGACAGATATCAGCAGAGATGTTTGGAATGTGACCAGATCAGAACATGACAAATCAAGTGGTCATACATTACTATGTATCCTGATCAACTCTGTTTGTATTTTTACATGCCTGCTATCTCATAGTGGGTTTTTACGGGCGGCAAAAAAAAGCAACATAGCTCAGTTTCATATTTTGATGGTGTTGTCTTGCCAAAAGTTTCTCCTCCTCAAACTGAGTGTTTTGGCAAGAGGGATATAAAATCTGCTTTTTTCTGATGGAGTAATAAGCCTTGTTACAAATTGGTGGTGGCTAAGTTAAGTGCACCACCAATTTGTAACAAGGTGTGTGTTGGCAAGAGGGATTTTACGGGTGGCAAAAAAAAGCAACATAGCTCAGTTTCATCTTTTGATGGTGGCGGTGAGGGGGGCGGTGCAGTTTCAATTGCTTTCTTCCTAATTTGGCCTTCTTCCGATTGTTTTTTTCCTTTCAGGGCTGTGGCAGCGCATCACATGCTCACTTCATTCTCCTTCCAGTTTAATTGCCATCATCCCTTGATCTTGACCACTTCGATCCCCTCCTCTAAGGATTCAGATGTGACTTTTGAGTTGACTTGTTCAGTAAGTCAGTCGGTGATCCAGTCAGTCACTTCTGTAACCCAAGAACTCAATTAGGCAGGGGCCGTGATATGTCTCACAGGTGCTGCGGGTCTTGGCAGTACTCTGAGATAATGAGATTTGAGCTCGCTTAAGAACTGAAGCATGCATATACAACTTTAAATGGTCTGTGCTAAAATCAGTATGGATGAGTGCTAGTGGGGTACTAAGTAGCTGGGGTTCTACTCGTGTTGTGGCTCTTTATATACTGTTTTGAACCTACCTACTAATACCAATTCTGTAATCCTGGTCCCACACAATTTGGCTCATTCTGACTCCATTCACCTCATGTTTCGTACATGTTTCCCATCTCATATGCCTCTCTGCACCTCATGTTCACATTTTGAGTCATTTCATTCTGAGTTGATATGACTTGGTCGCCTCACCAGATCCGGATTCTTGTGTGATATATTGATCTAATCATTTTGACCCGATTTCTCTTGATCTGAGTTGATCCTGTTGAATTCACCTTGTGTGGCGTTTACGCCAAACAAAATCAAGGTGGCAGAACTGAGCCTTTCGAAAGAGGCCATGGCCGGCCCAGCTGTGGGTTTTGATTAGATGGGAACAGTTATGCAGAAGCAGATGCACCGGTGGATGTAGTTGAGGTTGAAGGAGGAGGGCCGTAAAGGGGATTACATGAGGGGCAGCTGCACAAGGGCGAGCAAGCCTGCAATCATGTAGCATTGAATTAGGCATGGGAACAGTGGAGGACAAGAATTGAATGTACCAGCACAATTATAATTCTCTAAGGTAGGCGCATTACGCATTCATCGAGTCACGTGAATGTGACTGATGAGTGACAGTAATGTGGGAAAGCGCGAAATTTCAGAACAACGAAAAAAATTAGTGTATTTCTTCGGTCTCGGGCCCTCCAGAGCCAAGAAATTTTGTCAACGACTCACGAAGGACTTCTCAAACTTGAACTGGCCACAGAATTGCTGATTTAGTTGTCTAGACTGATCTGTGGGCCACATGCAAGGTGTCCTACCCCTGTTGACTCAAGTGAGATTTTCTTTCAGAGGGTTCTCGAGGCACATAGTAGTCTAAATTCATATACTGCTACAGCTTGACACATGTGAACATGTATATACCACAATGATGGTTACGTCGCATGCTTGTCAGGGGTGGGAATTTTTAGGAAGCGCGAAATTTTTCGAATAAAAATGAATGTCCCTGCTAGGATGATCAGAATCTCATTTTGAGTCTTTTCAGTCAAAACAAGATAAAGCTATTTTTTGGAGAGGAATCTCGGAAATCTGGAACCATAGGATTGTTCCTACAGTCAAATAACACATTTCTATGGTTTCACTTTATTTTATTTGTCGATGTGGCTGCCACCTATGGCAATACAGTTGGTGTCACGCTAAGCAGCCACGTGACTCGATGGATGCGTAATGTGCCTACCTTATCAATGGCACCTTGAGCATGGACCACAAACACTAGTACTCCAAATCTATGTCTGTCATGTCAGTCTCGGATGCACACCAACCAAGAGGAGCACACTTTAGCCGATGTAGCGTAATACAAATTCCACAGCCCAAAACTCATGTTGGCACATGGAATTGGGATTGGCACACACATCTATCACCCCCCTTGTCCTGTGGGAGTGCTTCATATTTTCCATGCACGCAAACAGATAACAGCCTGTAGACACTATCCTTGAGATTGTACAGATGCAGTGTTTGTGAAGCAGCGAGGACAATGGTGAGACCCAGCGCTGGGTTTGCAATTTGGGATCATCTTGGGCAAGAGGTCTCTGCCCCCGCCGCCCCCGCCTCCTGGGCCCCCGCCACCTCTTCATTCCAGCCCCCCGCTTAGTTTGCCCTTATCACGAAGCTATTGCCCTGCATCGCAACTTTGCCTATGGTCTTCGGCCACCAAATCTTCCCCTCTCCAACCGGAATTGTTGCGCCCTTGAGCGGCAGAGTAACGAGATATGTCGGGTTGTCAGACCGTGATTCACATACCCGACAGCTCAGCTAGAAGCTGCGCTCGGGTTGATGCTCGAAAGGTAGATGGGTCGGTGTAGTTTGGTTTCCCCAGCGCACGTATCGAACTGCAGGTGCAATGTGCTTGTGCTGCTCCAGTGCGTCACGTCCCATTCGGACACGCGGCAGCTCTTTTTGAATGGTGGGTGCCTCTTGTGCCCGGCTCACTGGCGCAGAGCAGGAGCAGGCGGCGATGAGCGCGTACATGCCTGTGTCAGCAACAAACGGGTTTTCACCGTCACTGCAATCGGTGGACGAGGCCGCGCAGTTCGTCTCTGAGATGAAGTTTGTGCCCTCGCTCCGCAGCTGGGATGTACCGCCTGCAGTACTTTGGCAACTCGAGGCCGCTCATCAGCTCGATTTCGATCTTGGCCTCATTTCCTAACCCTAGGATACAACTACAACTATAGCCACTTGTAAATGCAGCCTCAATCTGATTTCTAACTAATTTAGCAGGCAAGACAGGGGGTCTTCCAACCGGAGAAATGATTGGCAATCACTAGGCACATGTAGTTTTCAGTGGGTCTGATAACAAGATCGGAGATAGGTAATAGTAGCCAAATATAACAGTAGATATTGGTATATGTCAATTCAACCATACAGTCTTCGATGCTCAGGTATCATTTGGGTCCTGATTTTCTTTCGCTGCATGCCGACTGGGTGAATTTTGGAGATATGAAATAGATCTCTTTTGGCAATGGGACAATGTCGCTTGGTGTGGTAATTCCAGAGCAACAATCAGCCATTCACTCACTTTCCTGGCCAGGATCTTCTGTCCTAACTGTTCATTGGGAGAGATGGTGATCTGTTCAATAAAGTCTGCAGATAGAATGGGCCAGCGGCTGCCATGAAGGTGTTGAGTTGGCTGAGCTCAATTTGGAAGTGGGATTTGGAACTATATATGTATGAGCTGGTACGAGATGATCAGTATAAATGCAATGAGCACATGTAGTAACCATGCACCTTCACATGCACTACTTGACATATGAGTCTGAACAATGCCCTCGTTTGCCCCTCTCTTGAATATTTTGCTGTATTTTGCACATTGCAGGGCCTCACCAGCGGTCAGTTGACTGTGTGTACTCAAAATCAAGGGGACAGCCCTGGATATCCCGGGCAGAGAAGGTTACACAAGGGGCAAGGAAACAAGGGGTTGGGGACATTGGCACAATAGTGGGAGGTAGTACAGGCTGCATTACAGGGCTAGACAGGGTATTATGGACACTATTTGCACCAGCATTGGTGTTTTGTTGTTGGTTCACAGTTGGAAGTTAGGGCGGATGTGGCAGGACTGGAGGGGCTAGCAAGTGTGCTGTGTATAGTGGGTTTGATTTTGGCCGAGTTAGCCAACAGAAAGCATGCACAATATACGTGATGAGACGACACATCATGTACGGTGATTTGGTTGTGGCTGTGCCTAAGGCCAAATATTTGGCCCCCCTCATCAGCACATGTTGTTGATTATGGATGTGATTGCTGATCTCGAGATCTCTTGATCTTGGGGGAGGAACTTGTCAGGCCTTAAGTCCAGTCAAGTTCTCCACAAGGGTCGACCTCAATGACTATGATTGATTCCAGAGACGCTACAAGGACCCGGAGCACGAAGGATGAGTGCAGGCTTTGCATGGTGATGGTATTGCAGTGGTAGCCGACAAGTGCATTACCATTACGATTTACTGATGGCAGATCCTGATCCGCTGATGGTTACTAGCTAGTCCGTGGCTTTTTCAACCAAAGCCCAGGTTGATAATTGGCTTGACAGCTGGGAAGATCCGCCCACTACTGTTGGCCATCCAATCCAAACAGACTTAGATTTTCGATAAGAAGTGCAGTTCAACACAACTTCAAGTTCACCAGGCTTTGAAAGTACAATTCCTGAGCTTT